GGGGCGGGTAAGGAACGGCCATGGAATGTGTACGTGTTTGTCTGAAACAACGATTGTCGATAATCAACACCAAGCCCTACGAGGCTGAATGTCAGTGAGCCCCGTCATCCTGTCAGTCACACAGTGTAGGTATTGTTGAACACGTCTTTGCTACTGCCACTTTTCCCTGTGTACTTTGGGGTTGAAAAGAAGATGTAACGGCGCCGTTTAATGAAACGCTAAATAAATTAGCATCCAAATCCAAATCTTTTCACACAGTGATTTCACCGTTTCCAGGCACAAAGTGTTTTTCTTTCTCTTTTTTTATTCTTCCTCCTTTTCTTTTCAACAGCCGTACTTCCATTTCCAGACATTCCCATTAAGATAAATGGATGTGCCAGTGTTGGAAGTGATATGACGCGTACTAACACTTTGTTTACTTGTTAGAGCATCAATGCACATATTTAGTTTCCAGACGTCAAGATGAAACATTTTAATCTTGACAGCGTTGTCTGCTGCAAACCACTTTGTTTTTAATCCCAGCAAAGAGGAGTGATGAATAATCTCTATCTGATGGTCACGAGAGTGATGACTGAGATAAGACGTTTAGCCAACGACAAAAGAAAGACTTCTACAGTAATTCCTGTGAAGCCTTTTACGTTACAAATAAGGGTTTACAGAATGATTAGAGAGAGAGAGCGAGAGAAAACAGTCTTTTTATAATTATTGTAGCTAACAGGTCCAACATGAACATATGAGTTAAAGACATTATATATTGACAAGAATATTTATTTTGAGAATTCTGCTAAAAGAAAACACTAAAATTACAATCCTTTTTTGAATGCAAGCTTTTGAAATATTTTTTAATCACATAATCTGTCATACAGCATAAACCAAGGTCAAGGAAATATTGTGGTTATAGCAAATATACAAGAACTACCAATTGGCTATGCGTTAGCACCCGAACTTAATGCTCCATTTTTCAACTACTCGGGGGCAGGATGTGGCCTCATTAAGTTGTTTCCATGAACATGTAAGTAGGAAGCTGCATAGTTGCAACATTAGCATTCACGGTCAAGTCAGTTTTGTTTTGGTCTTCACCATCTAGATATACTGTATCATCTTGTAATTAAAATAGTTAAAGAGAGTGTAACAAGCACTTTGTGAGTATAACAAAAACACCTCACCTCATCACCATGGAAACCCTGATTTGGAAAAACATTTGTTAGTATTCCCCGCTGGGATGTGGATGTGTGTGTGTGAGAGTAATAACAGTGTGTGATCATTATTACTGCAAGACAACCCCATAAAATCCACCCGCAGTCTCAGGCTTCTCACAACCGTGACCTTTCCCCTTGACCTTTGCGTGAACCCGACAGACGTCTCTTTCCTGCTCTCTGTTTTGTGGCTTATCTTCCGGCAGTCTGTCTGTTTTTTCCTGTCACCCTCTTGCAGAAACAGTTTACCCTGACCATAGATTTCATCCTTTCTCCTCGAGCTCTGTTTTATTCTCTTATCAGTTGAAGAGGAAGCACATTGGTCTCGCTTTCTCACAGCGTGGCCTGTGGATCGTCCTTCAATGCTTCAACGGAAAATGAATTCAATGGCTGCTTTCGTTCAAATTTCACAATGTTTTCTCAAAGCTCCAGCCACTGTCTCCGGACTGTGTCCCCGACCCATTCTGCACGTATTTGCACCATTCTCCCTTATAGAATTGCACTGGTATCTATAAGAAAGACACAAAGAGGATAGCACTTGATTTACATAGGCATGGGCAGAGATGTACAAGTGTCTGCTGGAGGACGAATAGTGGCAGTGAGAGTGAGAGGAGAATGTGTGTGTGCGTGTGTGTGTGAGGGACATGACGACGGAGAGGAAGGCCATCTGTACTGTAGTCTCTGATGAGCTTAGCGCTTGCCACTATTCCTGTATTGTCGAGCGACGTCCTTTCCACACAGTTTGTAATTTAGTTTTTCAATTCTAAACGATTAAAGTAAAGAGTGTCCTGTAAATTTCACTTTTTTTTGGAGATTTATCACATTTGGGATATGAGATTCTGTTTCATTTTTCAGAGAGCGCAGAGTTTGGAAATAGGGAAGATGGCTAATTTGAATTAAAATAAAGTATTACTCCCATCTTGTCTTCGGTTTTAGAATCCATCTCTCAATCGCTGTCCTGTATCTTTTTAATAGGGCACCAAGAAGCTCAACGCTATTTCTTTTGGCATTTCATCTTGTGCTCAGTGAAAATGAGCAGAACAGGAGAGCGGAGATATGCGAGCCCTGAAAGTTCTAAACTACTATATTGTCTCTACTTTGGCATTCTAATCATTTCCCTGAATCTTTCTTTCTCCCGCGTCTGTCGAAACATTTCTTCGGTTAAAGGCTCTCCATTATTGGAAAAGGAATTCATATATATATTTTATTTCTCAGTAATTCACAGAAAAGAAAACACAAAAGAGAAATTCATTTCTTCGGGCATAAGAAAGTGCTGTGGAGATGACTTCGGAATTGGATGCAAATGAAAATGGATTTTTTTTTTTTTTTTTTAAATAACACATTTTCGATGCTATTAGCTGCACATTTTTAGCACGTTCTTCACTGTGACAAAGAAAATAGGGCTTTTACTGTTATCAACAGTAATTTCAGAGGGACTGCTGGGGAACCTGCCGGGCACGGACGCGCGTGCTCTCTGATTTTGATGCGTCCTCAACCCGGGAGGAAAATCCGTTCACTAGTTCAGCACTTTATGGCAAATCAGGAATTGTTTGGAGCTGCCGTTTGCTCAAAAGCTCAAAATGCCATGTCCAAGGGTGGCCTGCAGAGCAAACTATCGGATCTGGAAAAAAGCAACATAATTGTACACCTTCTGCCTGTTTTATATCCTGTAGAGAGTTACACGCTGGGGTGAGGAAAAGGCAACCGGCATAATGCAGAGACCTGCTGCCCATACTTTGCCTGTCAGACTGGTAACAAGCACAAATGATTTTTTAATGATAGGCCCCTCTATCCCACAAAGCTGTCTACCCACCAATGCTCATTCTCGTTCTAGAGGAGCACACAGACACACACACACACACACACACACACACACCGCAACGTGGCGCACGTTGGTTCGCTCCCACACGCACATCCATAATGAGTTTTATCAAGGGAAGTACATGCGGTTTTAATGGATCACTGCAAATGCCATTCCCACTCACAGGGTTGTAGTTCCAACGAGATGCTTCTCCTTCCCCATGCGTCACTTTTATTTATTTATTTATTTTTATCACAGACACGTGCGGCGCCAGAACACTCTAAATGATGATGTATGGCAGGTGCAGGAAAGCGAAAACAAATGACGGGTCTTTGTAAACCGGTGTCGCTATGTAATATTTGCTGTTGTCTGGAGGTTGTTGGCTTTATGAAAAATCTTGGGTGTGCATTGGTCGGAACAATGATATGACGAAATGAACCACATGAGTGGTTATCCGGATCTGGATATGACAGCAGTACCATGACTCAACTATGAACTTATTTGATGTATTGCGGTGGTCATTGAAGGTCAGGGTCTATAGTTCGGCCCTTTCCATTCTCGTGATATCATGAGAACCTATTGAGCTATATCATTCAAAGTTGGCGCAAACATCCCTTGGACTGATTATTTGGTGATAAACAGCCACTGCAACGATCAAAAAATATTTTTTTTGCGACGATGAACATAAAATGCAGATGCACAGTCGGAGTCGGCATTGAACCCAAAAGGTTCCCGCACCACAGCCGTGGGTTTATAATTCTTTGACAATAAAGCTCTCCTAACCTTCGCAAAGTGCTGCATTAATTCAGTTGGATTAGAAAACGCCTCCATGTGTCGTTCTAGAGGGCACGGACAAAAATGGCGTCTTCTGCTCGAAGGACTTATGAGATGTCTGGGTTTTTCAAGCCACCACCCAAGTGGCTTTTCCTCACTGGTTAGTTAGGCTTCCGTTCCATTTTTTCTTGTTACTCCTTTTACTTAATAGAGCCGCATTTTCATTTGAATTTGATTCAGCATATGCTGATTGAGTCCCATCTTGTACATCTCAGCTTTCCATGCAGGCTAGAAATTGCATTCTGTCGTGTCGTGTGTGTTACTTAGTGCGTAGTATCATCTATTCTCTTTTAATTACATACATACACATTTCCCACTGTTTTACTGCCGTGATTTTCCCTTCCTTGAGCGGTTCCCTTTGCTGTGAAGGGGAAAACCATCAAGGGTTCCTCATACTATTAGTTTTCTTGTACCAATTAATATGAGTCTAGTTTCGTTTGAATTTGATTCAGCTGAAACCGCTGAAATGTGTTTCTTTTCTGTTTTTTGCTCCTTCATTCGACACTTTGCTGCTTCTCTGCTGAGTGTGCGGATCGACTGAAAGTCAAACGTACGTGTCGGCGTGTGCACAAAGAACAGACGCAGACGCACTCGGCTCGAGGCAGCTGCGGAAGCTGCTCGGGGCCCACAAACAGGCATTAACGTGCATCATAAGCCCAAGAAAGGCACAGAGAGAAAAGCATTGCGGCGCCTTGTTTGGCCGCCACATCTGTCATAGCACCATGCAACATGCGATTGGTTTTGGATTTGCCGAATAACTGAGATAGATTTTCACGTCCGTTTCAAGCTGTCGGGCCGATCAATCTCTCTTTGAGAGCGTGTTGATTGGCTGCGCCCACCACTCTTGGTGATAAGGAGGGATTGGAGCTTGCATAAATAATAACTGGTTATGGCATGTTAATTGTACGTCACGGTGGCATGTGGGATGTAACATTAGATATGAGGGGACACACACACACACACATTTGATGTTGTGCAACTGCTTCCATGTACTGTTTGTTTAGACTAGAGGATGTGCATTGCGTCCCAATTATTGTCATTGTGGTTGGATGGGCCGATTTGCATAATCGCTATGGTGATTGTGGAGCACACACTCTCCCGAGCAACAATTGGGCGTCGGGGTGATTTGCTCGCTGATGGTAAGGAACCCATGTGCTCTATTCTCTCAGGCCTGCTGGAGTTCTCGCCCCTGCTCCTGCGATACTTCATCTCAGGTATGGGTTCATTACTAGAGCTAGATACAGTAGTGCTGTAGTGTTGAATATCAACACGTTGTCATAGTCCCTTGTGTCGCGCATAGTAAAGAGGTTTACCTTTGTCCTCCTTTGCGATAAGTAAGAGGAAAGGACAAGGAACGGTAATAACCCCCTTCCCCCACACCGATGCCTTGCAGCGCTTAGATTCCTCAGTGGCTGCTCGGATCCTTGTCGAGCGTTAGCCTAGAAGCTAAATCCACCTGCGGAGCTACTTCCGTGCCTCTTCTTTTCTAGTCCAGCCCATCTGTACAGTCTCATCTTCCCCCCCGGGCTAACTTTCCTCCCAGGCCCTCCTTCTCCTCGTTACTTTCCCCAAAGCGCTCTGTGAAGAGGAGTCGTGAAGTTCCAGCAGACAAATTTCATCTGCTTTTCCACTCCCCCTCATCCATTTCCCTCTGTCTCCCTCCCTCTCTGTGTGATTGCGTCCGTACGTCTGATGAGTCAGAGTAAATCCAGCCACACAGCTGCGTGATTCCCGAATCCTGCGTGCTGCCACAACTCTGCCGTCTCTTCACTCGCCTCTCTCTCGCCCCTCCCTCACAAACTGCTAATGAAGTGAATCACAACTGTTTTTGCCCCGCTCCCTTTACCCCAACAGCTGATGGTGAGCGATTGCATCCACAATGCTCCTTTAATTAGTATAGAAAATAAATTGGTTGAGCATGCCTTTTTCCTTAATTGCTTTTTCCTCAGCTAGGATTTAATTGGGCAGCAGCACTGTTTATTGATCTCCTTTGATGTGCTTTAATTTGGATAATTTTATATATTTATTTTGGAAGTGGCAAGTCGGTTTGTCTTGAGGGGGAGCGCGTTAGGGCCGCAACTGCAGCAGACCCGCAGTGCATCCAGCGAGTCCCGGGGTCCGGCGCGGTGGGGAGGTGATCGAACCAAGGAGGCAGCAAAGCGGCTCCACTACAATCTGAGGGGCCTCAAGTCAACAGCTCACATCTACACCTCATGAATGCCAATGCTGAGCAGTGCAGTGAGCCTTCTAAGCCCGCTTTAGCAGGCCTGCGGGCCGGTACATGCTCCTTCCAGCAGCTACTTTGTGTCTGATTCACGCTGTGTCATCTCCCGTCATCTCTCCCCCTCCCGCCTGCAATAACAAAGACCAATTTTCAGCCTCCGCCTCTGTAGTTTTATAATTAGTGTGCTTCTCTGCGTGTGATTCTGGCTTTGTTCGCTAGATATGCGTGTCTGCATATATGTGTGTGTGTGTGTGTGTCTTCGCTTGTGGGAGCATTTGTTTGTGTGGATGTTCTCCATTAACTGCTTTTTTTTTACCATTCCCAATCGCAGGGGGCAACTTCACATTGGCCGAGCTGGGTGTATGCGAGCCGCCTCCCCCGCCGCACCCCGCCGCCCCCTACTGTCCCGACCTGGGCCTCCTCCAGAGGGGTTACTCCCTCAGCGCCGGCTCTGACGTTGACTCGGACCCCGAGGGGCCGCTGTCCCCGGAGCGAGCCATCCAGCTGTGGGCCGGACGAGGACGGGTAAAGTCCCGCCGAAGCTCAGGAGTGTCCAGTCGAGAGAACTCCGCCCTGACCCTCACCGACTCTGAGAACGACAACAAGTCTGACGACGAGTCAGGTAGGACAAAGGGCTCTTGAGGGATGCGTGTATCGAAACACATGCTCCGATGGTTAGAGGAGGCAATGAGGGGGAAAGTGAGTAAGACGTGCCGGAGGACGGAGGACTGACTGATAGTCAAGTCAATGTCTAGAGGGATTGTGAGCGAGAATATACTGTATTTCTTTGCAAAGGTTTGTCAATATTGTTGAAACCTTGGGGCCAACTCTGGGGCCAACTCTCGAACAGACAGCCAACTGTCTGTTCGAGAGTTGGCGGTTCGGATTTACTGATTGGTCTTTCAGATCAGAAAACAGAACCAAACGGTGTTTGGACCCCGCCAAAGCCTAAAGAGCCATCATTATATTAATTCAACAGCACTTAGCCCTCTCCTCCACCCTCTAATAGCTCTCAGATCTCACAGCTGGTCTGCCAGTGGAAGGTTTTTTTGGGGAGCATTTAATATCCCCTGATCCAACACTGAGATGCAGTCAGAGAAAAGATGCATTCGGATCGTCGCTCAAGTGCAATGTTCCCAGAGTGACTTTCCTTTCCCTGGCAACTTTGTTTATTGCCAAGTTCCCATTTCCTCATTAATCTCGGCGCCGTCGTAAACCTGCGCGGATGCTTTGCCGAGGTGTCAGTGGAGGTTAATGAAAAGTGGAAGGAAGGAAAAGCAACAGTCTTAATTAATTGAGTTCTCGGCGGAAACGCGCGTCGGCTGCGGATCTACCTCCGTTGGGCCGCGGCCTCCGAATCAGAAACAACTTATTGTCAGCTGAGCAGAACTACTCAACGCCTATTAAACACGTCAAGAAACACCTTCCCTGAGACGCGCCTCTCATCTCACAGCCGGATAATTGCTTTGTGGTTAATTACCGAGCTAATCTCGCCGCGGCAGATATCAGCGGCCGCCGCTCTCACTCTGTCTGTCTCAGGGCCAGGAGGACGCCATTGAGAGCTCCGTCGCTGGCATTTTCCAGACCTCGTGAAATTAGCTTCTTAATCCACGCAGAAATATTGTGATAATTGTTCGCCTGCAGTATGATCTCACTGAGTGAAGATAGTCGACAAGATCAACAAAAGTTGTTTCGTCTTCACTTTCCGGGAAAACATCGTTCTGTGCTCCAACAGGATCCAAACATTCAGTCGTCTTTTCATTCACATTTGACGTTTCAGCCAACTGCAATTTTTGCCTTCTATGCTAAAGCCTTCAGGGGAAATGCCGGCTCACACCTCCTGGGATCGTCCCTCGTTTTACACCAGAGATTTAGATCAAGCCCGTCTGCGCTGCCGTCCATGCCAGCGCGGCGAGATCAGACGCAGCGCGGCAGCCGGATAAAAGGACCAGGCGCGTGAGCGCGTCAGATTGAGTCAACTCGTTATTTTTTTTAGCCGCTCTGAATGAGGAAAAAAATCTCACCCTTCGCTCCTGCAAACAGAACATCTGATACCGAAAAAACGTCACCCAGAGGAAGAGATTGCACTCCCGCTGGACCCGAGCCGTCCATATGCAGAGTCACAAGCGTGTACATTGCTGTCACTGTCTGTCTATAATGCTACTCTGTCTGTCTTCGGGACCCCTGCTTGTGTGCGAGGAAGTGTGAAACAGGAGCAACGGGAGTGTCAAAACAGCAGGAGGAGGATCTGAGTCTCTAATAATAGCGATTGACGGAAGCAGACAGAGAAACAACATCATAAACACATGCTAACAAATCCAAAAGACGGTGACGTGCTAAAAACACCAAACGGCACGCCGCGGAGCTCTCATCTCGCCGCATCTCTTAACGAGCCTCAGAAGTCTCACCTCCACTTGCTTCTCCTTATCCTCTTCATCTGGCGCCTCTCCAGCCTTTTGTCTTCTTCATTTCAAGCTTCCGCTTCTGTCTGCTCCGCGCTCCCGTTGCGCCTCGCACCGTCTCTCGTTATGCTCCTGTCAGTGCGGCTCGCCGGCGTGACTGACAGGTGTCGGTTTAAGGGTCTAGGGTTCCCCTCCAGGGCAAGGGTGTGCATGTGGATGCGTGTGCACGTGCACCCTGCTGCAGATTTCTCGACCAAAATAGAAAGCCCTGGAGAGAAATGGTGACAGATATCACTAACCTTAAGGAAAATACCATTATATTTGTTTGTGTGTGTGTGCACGACAGTTTTTTTGGGCACCAGAGCGCATCGCCGGATGAAAAATATTTTTTTCCTCATTTCTATTAATTGAACTCATTTTGTTTCATTTGTAATAATTCCGATAATAATAATTACAATAACAACAAAAATCCATATAATACACGCGGACTTCAAGTATTAGAAGGAATTTCTTGTCATATATCATGTTGCCTTACTGCATGTACAGTTGTTTTTTTTAAACAAAACAAGAGCCGAGTCGATAACAGATTAAAGCGTGTGATCTTTTAGATGGATAGCGTTCGTCTGTCACAGTGGCTGGTGCCTTTGCTAGTCTCAACACAATTAGCACTACTAATACACCTTTAGTAAACATGTACTCACAGAGAACTTTGAATACCGTTTCCTGTTTCTGTTAGTAGAACATGGATATATACACTGTATATGTATATCGAAATGTATGGATATGGTGCCAGGCTGCTGTATCATTTCATCAGCTCATTTCTTTTAATTAATTGTTGATAATTAAGGTATAACAAGCCCAATGTCACAAAGGCAGGAGGCAAGTAATGCTAAAAGATCAAAATGGGGAGTCTCAAACCTTCTCTGAGGGTGAGGAATGAAGTACGGAGAACTCGATTCACACCTATCAAATAAGATGACCTGTGGGGACGTATGTGAGGCCCCGCTCTCCACCGAGCCCAGCTGTGCAACAGGAGTCGGACCGGGTGTTGTGCCACAATACTCTCCTGCAGCTCAACAGAAGTTTTAGGCCTCAGGTTACGATTTGTTACATTTATCACCTTTCATTCCATTTACTTGGTACAACACATTTAGCATGTAACATGTATTCAAGTCTCACAGAGCGGCCAGCTGTCGAAAGGAACGAATGAGCCATCGGTCGCATCCCAGCTAAAACCCAAACAAAATGTTGGCCAATGATTACCAACTGGCTGCGTTCAACGGATTTGACAACCTGTAGGAAGGTGAGAGCTTGGCGTCACCCCGTCAAAGCCAACGTGATGGGCAGATATAACCGCCAAATAGTCCACACAAGACGCTTATCGTGGAGACAGACTTCTGGTGGACGATCCCTTTGGCATCTGTAACGTGGGGTAGAGCCACAGCTATTAGATTGGACTTCTCAACAGGTAGGCATGCAGCCATTACAGCTGTTAGATTTCCTTCCCAACTGAATCCGAGCGAGGGAGGATTCCAAGGTCAGCGAAAGACATGATTATCTGTCTCAATCTACCCTAGCTGCAACATGGAGAAGCTGCAGGGTTTGCACAAATTCCTGCAAAAGTCAAATTCCTGACATATGACATATTTTGGTAATAAATGTTCCTGATTCCTGGACGACAGGGGCATGGGGCCTCCCACACCGTGGTAGTAACACTCGCCCCGGTAAGCTGCCCGGGACAGCTCTGTAGGTGGAGGACTGACTACACCCAACTAGGGAGGACAACTTACAGATCATATCCCCTGAGCATTGGCAGGCAGTTTTTCACCATTGCAAAAATCTCTCACGCTATGATTGCTTCTAAGTTGGCTGAGAAGAGGACCGCCGAGTTATTCACTGGCGGTTACCACCAACAGGAACTGTTAAACCGTCTGTGAGCAGGTGCCATAGATAGGATATGGTATATATTGAGATTTTGATAACTCAATATATTCATCAGTGGATGGAGTTTGCGCAGTTGTCATGGAGACGTTGTTATCACATGACATAATATTAATACTCCCATCTTGTTAATTTGAATCGTCAAGCAGGGACAGGCCAGGAAGATAGGTTAAAAGATTAAAGTAATAGAATAGTTCCATGAAACATCCCCAGTCGGCTACTTATAGCAATGTATATGAATGTACTTATAATGAGTAAGTGCGAGTAAAGTGGGGAATTCTGGCAAATGAATGAATTCTGGCTCAGAAGTCCTTTAAAGATGGTTCAACACGTTAGCCGGTTTTAAATAAAAATATACCTTTATTATGTTTTATAGATAACGGTTTAAATATGCTAATATGCTATGCCATTATCTAATGCTAACTTTTCATACGTTTGGAAAAATAGTAGTAAACCCCCAAATGTCAACAGTTGTTTTTCTTCTTTTTCCAATTGTCTGAAAGAAGACATCGAAGCAAAATAGCCCAGAAATCCAAATATGGCCAGAACAGCAATACAAATGTTACTGACCAATATGACAATGCAATCACAGTATGTAACAGTGTAAGTGGATGACCAATAACACTCACACATATAAGCACATTGACTTTTAAAGGTTGAAAACCCTTTTAATAAAACTTCCAGATGACTGTGTTCGTTCTTCCAGAAATGTGGGTGGTCTACTTTCTTCCACAGACCTCTGGCACCTGTTAAATTGGTTTCTAAAATAAACGCTGTGAGTATTTTGTCATCGTTTTTTTTTTTTTTTTCATTTACTGCTAAATTCCAATTACCGACAAGTATGTAAAGCCTGTTAAATTAGTTTCCTAAATGCAACTCAGGGATTTCTCCCCTTCATCCAGCTTTATTGTCAAGTATTAAATAAAGACACTTTGCTTTTATTGCCCCTTCCAGACACTATTAAAATAAAGAGACTAGAACGTCGACTTGGCAGCACCAATCCAAGTTTTCATTTGCACAAGCAGCACAGTGAGAGAAACAAATGCGGGCGTGGAGAGCGGCGATGGGAGATTTCATCCTGGCAAAGTGGAGGAGGAGATTTACTGTCACGCTGTGCACCGCCTCGTAAAAAGTCCGTCTGGAAACACAGGCCGGAGAATAGGAGCGCTTGTAAATTCCCACAGCAGTGCGTGATGACTGCATCCAAACTGCATTGATCAAGGGGGAGGATGATTAAAACACGCATTAGATGAAATAAGATCAGGCTTTGACATTGATT